AATGTGTAGATTGCTCTAGGTAGCATTGACATCTTCACAATATTTGTTCTTCCAATCCATGAGCATGGAATGTTTTTTCCATTTCTTTGTGTCTTTCGAGGACCCTTCTTTGATGCCAGGCCCCAGTCACCATCTAGAAAGCAGATTCCCCATTTGACTGATGGACAAGTAGAGATAGGCCCAGAGAGGCCCAGCAGGTTCCCTGAGGTCAGACAGACAAAAGCCAAACCCTACAAATCCCCAGGTCCAGAGAGAGCAGCTGCAGGCTCCCCAGACCCTGTAGCCACAATCTTTAAAACCTGTCCCTGCCCCGGTCTGAAGGGCCCCCCAGAGGAGACCTCAGCGGGGCCTGCTCAGAGCCCCCTTCCTTCCCCTTCCTTATCTCTTCTCCCCAACTGCACCAGGGGCAGAGGAGCTGTTACCAGGGTCCAGCAGGTCCTGGCAGCTGAAGGCCTAAGCCAGCAATCCACAGCCCCACTTTCTGGCCATCCCAAGGTGCTGTGTGACCATGAGACAGTCCTCAAAAGGAAGTAAAAACTAATGGGCTTTTGCTGGCAGGGTGCCCTCAAGGACCCAAAGGGCTCCTTGGTATTGAATAGGCAAAAGCAACAGGCAGGGTTGGGGATCAGGGGAACAGAGTGAATCCTGCTCAACCACCATACCCTTGGTTTCTAGAAGCCAGTCCAAGGAGAGTAGCTCATGAAAATGGAGAGAAGACTCATATTTATTGTGTATCCAATATATGCCACGCCCTTACTGGGCTCTGGGCTCACAAAGTCATCCCATGTTACAGCTGTCCAAACTGAGACTCAGAGAAGCCAAGTCACTTACCCAAGGTCACACAGCAGAGCCTGGATTTGAAGTCAGGTCTTTACAATTCCAGACCCCAAACGCTTTCCATGGTCCTGGGCTATCTCTAAGTGTCCTAAATGTTCCAGTAACTGCTGTAATCTATAATGGGGGGGAGGGAGGGGGCATCAATGAAGCACGCAACAGTCTTCCCATTTACAAAGCATGTAGCAGAGGCAGAGAGTAACAAAAGTCCCATAAAGCAAAGTGCTGGGGCTCTGCATCTCAAGTCACTCCCCTGAAGCCCAAAAGAGCACATTTCCATGGACTGGGTGTCTGTTTAGCAAGGTTCACCTGAGTTTCCCGGTCTCTGGAGCTTCCACTGGTGTCATTTGTGATGAAGGAGGAGCACCCTGGTTCCCCTCCCCCGGTCATCACATGGTGCTGACCTCCAGCTGGATGCCCAAGGCTCCCTTCCAGGCTTGCTGTGGAGCTTGAATGCATTTATGCAGCCCATACACCAGGCAACAAAAAACAGCAGCTTTCACTCTGTGTGCTCAGTGAGGTGAGTGCCTTACGTAAACGTGCTCCCTCCGTCCTCTCAGCCACCAACGAGGGAGTGCCTGTCCTCACCCCCATTTTGCAGATGAGAAAACTGAGGCACAATGGGTAAGTAGCTAGGTCGTAGGCGTGCGGCAGTGAAGTAGCACAGCTGGGATTCAAACCCAAGGCTGGTCTGATGTCAGTTAGCATTAGCACAACTATGATGATCATTAGCACTAAAGGCTGGTCCAGCTAAACAACTTAAAATTATTGGAAAAGTCTGGAATTCCAAAAGAATGACAGAGTGGCATCGAGGACCTTGTGCAATGAAGTGGTTGTTTACTAGCCTGCAAGGAGTGACTGGTTCAGTGAAAGCCGTGGAATTTTCCAGGGACACATACTTCTGGGCCACATCATTCTGGACCATCCCAAGCTTAGGCCCACCAGCTAGCCTTGACCTCCACTCCTCCGAGAGCTGGAAAACATTCCCTGATACCACTTGGCCTTTTTGTCATGTTGCTTTTGACCCCCGGCTTCCCAGAAGCTCCTGCTGGGGTCTCCCAAAACTGTTCTCTCTTCCTTGGGACTGAATTGGACTTCCAGACAGTCAGCCATGGGCCTTTGGCAATGTGAGGCCAGCACATGGCAGAGGAGGCCACTGGGCTCAGGGACAGTGGGCAGGCCATGTCCAGTGTCAGATTCCAGGCGTGGATTCAAACTCCAGATCTGCTGTGTGACCCCAGGTGAGTAGCCACCCCTCTCTGAATCACTTCTCTTGGCCAGCTTGAGAATTAAAATGAATACTTGGTGTAAGTGATTTGTGAATGGTCCCGTCCCCTGCCCAGCCGCCTTGAAAGGGAACCTCTCTGAGTTTTCCAGGGATGGATAGTCGGGTGCTGCTCAGGGTCACTTTCCATGGAGAAGGCTGTTCACCACCTTCTGGTGGGAAAAAGGGCCTGGGCTAGTCCTGGCTGCAGCACCCACCTTGGCTGTCCCCTCCCTTTTCTGAGCCTCAGTTTTCTCATCTGTAAGTGGAGGTAATAAATCTCCCCCCCCGGATCCTTGTGGGGATGCAGGAGACAGGGTGCATGGAGGAGTTTGGAGAGACCCTAGGACTCAGCACCCCATGGATAGGACCTGAGGCTTTTGTACCAGATGTGTCTGCTCTTTTCTTTTTCTGTTCACAAGGTGGGCCTGGCAGGCCTCAAGCAGCCTGGGGAACCAGACCGGGAGGCTCAACAGTGCAAGGGTGTGGGAGGCAGGGTCACTGTAGGACAGATAAGCAGCCCACAGCCTGGAGTGTGGGTGTCCTCGCTGTGTGTGTTGGCGGAGGGGGGAGTGCTTCATACTTGCCATGCCCTGAGCTCTGGCTGGGGCATTCACAGTCTTCTCCCGGAACCAGGAAGGAGGTCTCAGTGACTCCCATTTTGCAAAGGTGGACACTGCAGCTCAGGGAGGACAGTGAGTTACCCAGGATCGTACAGGGGCAGTGGCCGGATTAGAACCAGCCTGTGGGACATCAGGCCTGGCACTGTGGTTCCTGCCCCCACCCCCTTTCCCCCTGGGCCTTCTGTCTGGAGACCTGCCTCACAGTTGCTGGAAGCATGAAAGGAAAGCACATCAGCAAAACTGCCCTCTAGACCCTAAAGCACTTGCAGTACTGATCGCCTTCATTCTGTTACGTCCTCACTTCTCTTTTCTCATGAATCAGGCCTCTCCCCCATGTTGGGAGCCGCCATGGACCTCACCTCATTGAAGTTCAACCCTCACAATAGATCCCCCAGACAAAGAATATTCGTCCCTTTTTACAGAGGTGAAAACTGAGGCTCAAAAGGTAAAGTCATTTGCCCAAGATCTCACACCTAGAACAAAGGCAGGAAACCAAAGAGCTTACCACCCAGATGCATTGAATAAATTGGATCATGCTCATCTAATTATTGACATTTTTTTACTCGGCAGAGCAGGGATTTAAATCCAGACCTGTATGCTTCTCCTGCCTGGCTGACCCCACTCTGCCTGCTTCCTTCTGCTCTCTGCAGGATGTGCGACGGCCCAGGGTGGGGCAGAGGATGAAGGGGAGGCAGAGGCCGGCTGGATCGAGGGGGCGGCCATCCTCCTCTCGGTCATCTGTGTGGTCCTGGTCACGGCCTTCAATGACTGGAGCAAAGAGAAACAGTTCCGGGGCCTGCAGAGCCGCATCGAGCAGGAGCAAAAGTTCACCGTGGTTCGGGCTGGCCAGGTGGTCCAGATCCCTGTGGCCGAGATTGTTGTTGGGGACATCGCCCAGGTCAAATATGGTGAGTGTCCCAGCCACAGGGCCAGGTGCTAGAGCTAGAGTCTGGGCAGAGGTGGGACAGGACAGGCAGACCCAGAGAGGCTGGCCCAGGGAAGGGGTCCGGTCCCTGAAGGCTAATCCTGAGCCAGGATGTCTTCTGAGATCCTTTGGGAAGTAAAAGACTACTTCCTAGAGGAGGTAGGATTCCAGAATCCATTTAAAGTCAGAAATGGCAAATACAGAGCACATGTGCTACCATTCTCACAACCTGCACCTGTAGCAGACATTTCTAATCAATCACAGCTCAGAGCCTAGATACAGAAGTCTTCTCAACGCAATACTGCAAGGACCACTAACACTCAGAATGCGTTTATGAGGTGAAATCCATTTCCTACATCTGATTGGGCTATTGATGGATGGTTGTTGGGCTAGAGAAGGTGTCATAGGGAGTGGATGTGGGTGAGCAAACATTCTAGGCCTGTGATGCTGCCATGGAAGAAGTGGTCAGGCTGGCTGGTGCCAAACGGGGTGTAGGCAAGATATGTCCTGGGTAAGCAGAGGCGGAAGATGGGGGAGAGATTGCGGTGCCCTCTTCATTCCACCTTAGGGAGCTTGGTTTCCTCTGATAATGTGCCTGTCTTCGGGTCCCCTCAGCATAGTCAGGACAGACTCGTCCCTTCCAAAATGATTTCCCTAACCATAGGTGAGACCAGAGAAGCATGAATCATTGAGAAAACTGGACCCCAAATCCATACCAGGCCAAGAGAAGCACTTTATAAACAGAAGTACATGCCCACTCAAGCTAGGATTGTTCTTGGGCCCAGCCTCAGTCCTCCAGGCCTTGTGCCATTCCTCTTGGCTCCAGGCTTCAGCTGCCTATTGCCTGTGATGGGCACCATCTTAGTTCCCACACCCTGGGAGCTCGAGGCAGCAGGTGCCCAATGGTGAGCTTGACCTTGCAATCACACCTTTAAGGGAATGTTCCAAGACCCTCCAGCCACCTGACAACCTGCTGACTCTGTTGCCCTTCCTCCCACCAGGTGACCTCCTCCCTGCTGATGGCCTCTTCATCCAGGGCAACGACCTCAAGATTGATGAAAGCTCCCTGACGGGGGAGTCTGACCAGGTGCGCAAGTCCGTGGACAAGGACCCCATGTTGCTATCAGGTGAGATGTGGCCCAACGGTGAGCTCACTCCCATTGCCGGTTCCTGCCTCTATGCTTCCGGGGTGGAGGGGCACCTGTGTCCCCATCATGAGGCTGGAAGTTCTCAGAGACTTTGTTCCTTGGCTCCAGACCCTTTCCCCCAACAAATGTACTTTGAGCCTACTGTGCACTCAGCATTGCTCCAGGCCCTGAGGACAGTACAGTAAATAAAATCGACAAAGAATCCCTGCCCTCACGGAACTTACTTTCTAGTAAGCCTGTTCTTATCAGGGATAGGAAAGAATCCATCAGGTGATGATTACTTTAGATACTTGCCATGTGCCAGGCACTGGGCTGGGTGCTGGGGATACAGCAGGGAGGGAGGCTGATGAGATCACTGCCCGGAGAAGCTTGCGGTGTAATGAGAAGAGACGGACATTGCAAAGACCCCAGAGGGTGGTAGGTATATGACGGAAATAAAGCAAAACAACGGGAGGCAGGTGGCTGGGGAGGTCAGAGGAGGCCATGTTTGAGTTGCGTTGTGAATGAGGAGAGAGAGCTGGCTTTGTGGCTTTTGGGGGGAAACATGTACCAGGCAGAGGGAACAACAAGTACAAAGGCCCTGAAGCAGGAAGATTGTGAGCAAAATGGAGAGGGTGGAGGGCCCAGATGTCAGGTCTCGTGGGCCATGGTCAGGAGTTTGGAAATTTTCTAAGCGTGATGAGGATCATCTGAAATAGTTTTCAGCAGTGAACTGGTCACATTTACATTTTTTAAATCTCCCTCTGGCTGTTGCAGGGGAAAGAGAGGAGGCAGAAAGGCCTTGGAGATGTGAGGCCCCAGCTGGATGAGACACCCCCCTAACAGAGACACACAAAGGGCCTCCTTGTCCAGCACTGCTCAGCAAACATCCCCTGAGCAGCTGTTCTGGGACAGGCCCTGTGCTGAGCACTGGACCCATGATGACTCAGAGCCTCCCCCTGGCCTTGAGAGCCCCCAGCCCACAGAGGCTGAGGGGAGCAGACCTGCAAACAGCTAATTCCACAGTAGAGGAGTGAGGAAGAGGTGAGAAAGCCAAGAAAGGAACAGAACTCCCCAAAGTGGAATTGAGCGGGGTTTTAAAGGGTGAGTAGGAGCTCACCAGAGGTGTGGAGAAAGGGCCTCTTAGCAGAGGCAAATGTGTGCAAAGACACAGAGGCCTGAAGGAATATGGGATGTCCTTGCAATACAAAGAGAAAGATCAACAGGTCTGCAGGGTAGGATGGTAGAAAGAAATGAGAATCAGCACTGGGGCATTTATTTATCCAGAACTTATTTGACCAACATTTATTAAGTAGCTACTGTGTGCCAGTGATTGGTGGGACAAATAAGGTTCCTGCCATCCTGGAGCTTAGAACCTTGTAAAAAGAAACAGACGATAAAGGAACAAGAATGCAAATATGTAAATTTCAAATATTCAGATGAAGACATTAAACCATTATAATGAAATAGAGACTCTGAGGAAAGGAACAGGAATCGTGTTGGTCAGGGAAGGCCTGTCTGAGGAGCTGAAACCAGCACAATGAGAAGAAAGAGCATTCCAGGTGGAGGGACAGCAAGTGCAAAGGCTCTGGGGTCTAAGAGATCATAGAAAGACTTGAATGCCTTCTTGGAACATTGGGCCTCATGGGGGTTCTGTAAATGGTCATGGCTCCGTGGCCCTGGTTCTGACCTCTGAGCTGAAGGACTTGGCAGAGAGGCAATTGTCCCTGGGAGAAGTGGTCTGGTGGGTCATGTGGATCGGTGGAAGTCAGGTGGAGGCACTGAGCCTAAATGGATGGGTGACAAAGGTTCCAGACAGTTTGGAGAAGGGAGAGGAGGGGTAGGTTCCTTGCAGGAGGCTGAGGAAAGAAAATGTTCAGAATCACTGATTCGGTGTATCCCAGACCAGCCAAGGAGATGGGCACAGGGGCAAGGAGACTCTGGAAAAGACTCAGACGGGGCAGAGATGGATGGGAAGTCAGCTAGCCAGCCCAAGTCAAACCAACTTTTTTGGTCTTTACCTACACTTCTAGCTGGAAGCCCAGGTAAATAGTATGGACCCCGGGCCTCTGGATGTCAGGAGACAACAGCCAGGGTCTCCTGAGATGTCCGGGTGGGCAAAAGAGAACAGGATGTGCTAGAAGCTAGGAGACTCTGGTGGGTTTGTGCTGATTCTTGGATTGCTGGTAATCCAGTGGCCTTCCCTGGAGCTTTGTCCTGTTTCAGTATGGAAAGTGTGCCCACCAACTTTGCAGAGACCATGAGTGCAGGGAGGATGGCAAAAAGAAAGCAAGAGGGAGGACCCACCAAGATCGCCAGAGTGCAGTGTGAGCTAGACTTAAAGTGATCCTTGGCTGTGAACTGCAGCACTGGCATTCAAAAGCACAATTGCATGGGGCTGGGAGGGGCAGGTGGCTTAGCCCCAGCTCCTGGAGAAGGGTGGGGGGCGGGGAGAAGGGGGTAGAGTCAGCCCAATAGAAGGCAGTCTAATTGGAAAGAGAAGAATTCTATAATAGAACCATTCTAGGACAAAAAGGCTGCCAAAAGGTAATGAGTTCCCGGTCACTGATGGTGTGAGAGCAGAGCCTCAACAGGCTGTGGGGTGCTGGGGGTGTTGTAAGGTAGACCCAAGCCCTGGATGGCCAGTGCATTCAATGCCCTCCCAGGCACGCAAGTCACAGATTCATCATACCCACCCTCACCCTGTACCTCTGCTGCAGATGCATCTTTGTTCCCTCCACCCTGCCCCTGCTGAGGCTGCTCCCTCCTCCTAGATGGCCCTCTCCCTTCCTTGTTACACATTTAACTCCTGTCCATCTGCTCAGGCCCCACCTCCTCCAAGAAGCCTTCTCTGCCCACCACTGCCCTTGGGCAGTCACCCCCAGACGGCTTGGGACACACATTTCACCCCATGACCCCCACACTGTGCTTGGCCCATTCGAGCACAGCCCCCTAATGTAGACTGAGTTTGGCTGAGTGCAAACCATCTCAGATAAAGTAAAGAGTTAAATGCATCCAGTTCTGCCTCCCAAAGAGATCTACTGGTCTCACTTGTATGGGCCCCGTCCAGCCTTGGCCATATGCAGATGGACAGACACCATCATCATTGCGATGCACTTGTCCATGGGTCCTCTCACCCAGACCCGTCCAGCAGCTGGGAGCCCTGAGCGTAAAGCACCAGGAGCTCCATCCCTGGGCCCTGCACACTGTAGGGGCTCCAGCACTATCTTCTAGAGAGAGGGAGGCTAAGGCTATTATAGAAAAGGCTGGGTTGGGCTAGACTGAGGCAGATCTGGGCTTGGGAGTGAACTCACTGTGTGGCCTTGGGCATGTCACACCCCTTCTCTTGACCCGTGAGGACAGTAGGGATGCCCTGGGGTATGATGTAGGGGGAGCCCCTCCCTAGCCCAGTGCTAGCAGATGGATGCCCACAACAGACTGGCTCCCTCCCCATTCCTCAGATGGAGCCTGGATTTGGGGGGGTGAAACAGGTCTGGGTTCAAATCCCTACTGCCCTCATTTGCTGGGAGACCCTGGACAAGCTTTTTACCCTATCTGAGCCTCTACTTCCTCGCTTGTAAAATGGGGTGACCCCAGCTGATGAGGTTGTGCAGTGTCCGTTTCCCCTCTCTCTTTTCTCATCTTGAATATCTCCCCTTCCCCCTCTCTGAGCTTTCCCCATCCAGCTCCTCCCCACCTTCAGCCTGCATGAGCCTGCCTCCTCCGGGGGGGTTTCCTTGATTGTTCTCTTCCCTAGTGCTCTGAACTCTGGATAACTGCCATCTGGATGCTCATTTTTGTGCATGACAGAGACCTCGGACCCTTTCCCTGTGCTGGGAGGCCTTGCTGGGCCTTCCAGTTGAATGGCCCCCCGGGGAAGACAGAGGGACCTGGCTAGGGGCCCCTGCAGGGTCCTCATGGTAGTGCAGAAACCCCCTCGGGGTGTCTGGCACACTGGTGCAGCCTACAGGAAGGCAAAGAACACCCTGGCGCTGGGAGCAGTTGGCCCAACCATGCCCAGCCTGTGACCCTGGACAGGTCCATTCACCTCCCTGAGCCCCCATGTTGGTGTCTGTGCAGTGGAGGAGTTGCTGGGGGGGGTGCCCTTCCCCCCTGCCTACCCCACAGGGCTGTTGTGGGGACCCCATGCATGGATGGATGTCACTGTCCTTTGTAAACGGTACTGCTGCGAGGGGCTGTGTGGTGTGGAACAAGCATAACATTTGGAGGCAGAACACCTAGGTCCCAGACCTCTGTTGGCTCCAGCCGTGACCTCTGCCTGTCAGGTCCTCAGTCTCCCCATCTGACAAATGGGGACAGACCAGCCTTTGGAAAGACTCGGATGTGCCAGGCCTCAGAGCACAAAGAAAATCCCAAAGGCCCGGAGCTCATCTCCCAGGATGGACAGGCAGGCGGACACAGACCAGGCAGAGTAGAATGTTCAGAGTCACAAGGTACCCCTGCATGGGGTCAGCAGGGAGAGCACAGACACCAAAGCAAGAGCCTGACTGCTTCTCACTGCTGCCCGCAGAAGCCCCCCGGCCCTGGTGTGGCTGCGACGTTCACAGTGTGGAGGGGGCCAGAACCCACATTTCATGTACAATCTCCCAGTGTTTCACTGTTAGCGAGAAATTCCCATTCTTTAAAAGCCCGTGTGGAGCAAGGAGCATGTGGGTGAGCCCTAGAGTACAAACTCCGACCTGGGCCTTTATTTTTTTTGAGTTTTCTACTTTAAGATCATTTCAAACTTTCAGAAAAGTTGCAAGATGAGTGCAAAGAACACCTGAATGCCCTTCCTTCTGATTCAGCTGTTGTTAACCATTTTGCTCCAGTCGGGAGCTCACTGTGTCATGCGGTCATGATGGCCCTTTGCCCCCTGACACCTCAGGCGGATCTCCTAAGAAAAGGGTTTGCTCACGTGTGACCATAGCACAGCTAGCCATTCAGGAAGCTCAGCATTGATGCTATACCATTACCAGAAGGTTCCATACGTATTCACGTCCCTCGACTGTCCCCACAGCGTCCTCCAGGCCAGGACCCGGTGCAGGACCTGTGTGGCATCTATGTGTC